ATTCCATTGTATGAATAGTTTACTAGTTTTTATCCTCTTTGTTGCTGAAGAGCTGTTGCCTTTTGATTTTAGAGTAGTTTAAATTGTCCAGCCATGAAAATTCTTTGATGCGTCTATGTCCATGACCGTTAGGAGTAAGCTTTGGGGCCCCAAGGCATGCCTGTAGGTGTAGTATGATGTGTTTTGTAATGTGCATTCAACTGCAGGAGATACTGATAGGCAGCTCTTTACACTGGGCTGTGGGTCTCATCGCAGCATTCTCTCCTGAGTGTTCCTAGTGGCTTTTACATTCTCTCTAAGACTTGGTCATTCCTGTTTAACATTCATGACATTTATTCATTTTCTTTTTTATAAATATGAAGAAAATACGTTCTTATTTTGTTGCTTCCTAAGTTTATATAGTATTATACTATAGCATATTTGTATTCAGTAACAGTAGTTATTGTTAATTTTTAGTGGCATGTTACATTTGTAAATTTGACTGTTACTTCTGACTTCTGGAGAATAGTATCATTGCAAATATGTATGTTTGGCAGAGAGAAACTTAATTTTAGACATTTATTTACAATCAAATATCATTTGCTACTAGATAAGCTGCTTGATGACAAAGTTTCATGTTACTTTTATAAACATTCTTGGGACCTGTTTAAAAATATTTATTGATAGGAATGTAACAATTTTATTTGTATTGGGAGGTCTTGATGGTTAGAAGTTGCAATCTGTCGTGGCTTGGCAGTTCTCTCCAAAGCTTGACAACGTGAGGTACTCACTTCCCAGTGAGACTTACTGCTTTCTACCTGCACTTATCTGGACAATGTCTCTAGGCCCAGAGGACTGACCTTATAGGACTGACCTTGTCTGAAAGCTGTCTCTAAGCCTGGGTGCCTGATTTATCTCTAGCATGGCCCTTGGCACAGTTTCCTGCTAGAAGCCTTCCCCCTTCTGCCCATATGTTAACTAAGACTTGTACTAGGAGCTCTTCTATAGGACCCTACTGCCACATATGAAGACTTATGACAGGACCATGCTACTTAATGCAAATTAGAACTTGTTCCCAGGCTTCCCAATCCTATATATTTCCTATATTCTGGAATAAAGTTGAGCTGATTCTATCATATCCACAGTAGTCCAAACCCTGTTGCCCTGCTTCAGCTCCCTCTCCCCTTGCAGACGGGCCAATGATGCCCAAGGAAGGAGAACCACAGATTTGGACTGTGAATAAATAGAATTTTAATTTTTAAAAATCTTTTAGAGAACTAGAAGGAACACTAAACATTTTGGGAGCAAATCCACAATGAAGAGGTGTTTGAATGCTTTGAGTACGATGTTGATTTATTGATTTTTAGGTGGGAAAAGTGTCTTTTTGTAGTGGGAAAGTTTGAGATGAGAGTATGGAATTGAGATAATGTCATGGGAGGATAGAAAGGTGTGGAGACAAGAATACATGTTTCTACTAGAAACTGAGATGCTTGAAATGTGAAACCCCCTAACCTGGGAAGATGTGAGCAATAATATAAAAGGCATCTTTAAATTGCAGCCTTAATTGAATGAATAGTTTTCTAAGTAAACAAGATTTTGAAGTTTGTCTTTCAGGGATGGGCTCTGGGATCAAACCCAAGCCCTCAGTGTGCTAAGCAGTCACTCTATTATAGATCATCCCTATGCTAAGGAGTGCTGTTCATAAGTATTGGTATTTTTGTTGTATATTGCATATTAGGCTATCAGTTTAGGTTTTTCCCACTGCAAGCAAGAATTATGTTCTTTTTAGTACTGTTTTTCACTACTGTGTTTTTGTTTTTGTTGTTAAATGCTCGTTTTTTTTGTTGTTGTTGTTAAATGTATTTGTGCATAGAAATACACCCAAAAGAAAGAGCTTCTGAAAAAGATATGTTCTTGATTCCTCTATTGCACTAAATAACTTAAATAGTATTTTCCTACTGTTACATCATATGTTAGTTAGTCTTTGTCTCCCACGTTCCTTTACTTTCACTTGTAACCACACACTGCACTGCTGGGCTAAATTATCTTTTAGGACCTGCTGTTTCTTTTCTGAAATTTTAAAAAATTGTTACTGGTTTATATAGACAAAAACACTCATTGCAAATGTCTAGCTCAGTGAGCTCTTACGAAGGGGCACCATGTTTCTACTGTAGTGTAGAAATGCCCTGGCCTGGTGATGACCCTGTTTATCTGTTGGTCCTTCTCCAAGCACTGTTTTGGTTTCTGTTTATCATTCTGCTGAATATTTTTTAAATTAGGCCACTCTAATAACATAAATCACTTTTTTCTTGATTATTTCTTTAGTAACTATCTATAGACTCTTCATATATTGGAAAATGTCTTCAGGAACAATATAATTTCTTTATGCCCGAGCATAGCTCTGCAATATAGCACTGAAACAGACTATCTGCCTACAATAGCTGGCTGATGTAGAAACAGCTTTCTACCTCTTGAATTTTGCATGTTCTATTCCTCAAGGAACATTCAATTAGTTCCATCTCTTAATATATGGAAAATGTAAAATACACATTCAGAATCATTCTTTTCCCAGATGTTATTTGACAGGAAGCTTTTTGGTCCCTCAGTTCTTAGCTCAAAATTCGAAGAATTCTATGTGGTACAAATTTCTGAATACTTGGACTCCTGGGGACAGTCTTTATTTGGTGAAGCATGTCCTCTTTGCTGTAATGTGCTTTACACTTAGCAAAGAGTAGTTTGAATTAGTCATAAAACATTCATACAAAACTAAATGTTTTAATTTTACTATATATAGATGTAAGGTAAGTTTTACTGTAAATCTTTCTTGGCAAATTTTGGGTCCTTTGGTTTTGGTGTCAAAATGATGAGTGTTTTTAAAATGTAATACACTAATTTTTTTTTTAGCCTAATTTTAGCATCTCAACAATGTTATTTTCTCAGTGGGCAGGATAACATTGAAACAATTTCAAAAAACAATTTTTTTTTTTTTTTTTTTTTTTTTTTTTTTTTTTTTTGCTTTTTCGAGACAGGGTTTCTCTGTGTAGCTTTGCGCCTTTCCTGGAACTCGCTTTGGAGACCAGGCTGGCCTCGAACTCACAGAGATCCGCCTGGCTCTGCCTCCCGAGAGCTGGGATTAAAGGCGTGCGCCACCACCGCCCGGCTCAAAAAACAATTTTTATACTACTGAGAGGCTTAGTAAATATACTAATAAAAAATCAAGTTGACAATAAAAATATTGACAATTAACTCATGGCCTAATACAAGAGCAGATGGAATGTCTTACATGAGTTCTAGTTCATTAAGCAAATGCGACACTTTATTTTCAAGTCCTTTTAGTTCAGGGAACTGAAGTGGCAACATTGTGATATAAATGAAGCCACTTATTAATGATCTGAAGTAAACTATAGAAACAGAATACTAGCAGACTTCTTCAGACATGGTAGCACAGTGTTCTTATGTCTAAATTTTGATTTTACAATTTGACTGCTATCACGTATTATTTCTGAAAGAGTTTACTATAAGAATATATTGGGGCCAAGTGTGGGGAAGTCTCGAGAGATGACTAAGAAAAACACTTGCTGCTTTTGCAGAGGACCCAGGTTTGTTTCCCAGTACCTACATAGTGAACTACAACTATCCATCAACTCCAGCTTCAAGGAATCTTAACATCCTCTTCTGGCTTTGATGGGGGACTAAGCATGGGTATGGTGCACATATATACATACATACAGACGAAATACTCTTATGTATAAAATAAACCTTTAAAAAGAAAGAAAATACTTGTAGAGTCATCTAAGTTCATGGTGAGGTACATTGCCAGATTTGGGGTCCATTATATTTGAATAGTATAGTTTGTAGCTCTTAGTACAGATAATAAAATAGTTTCTTTGTATTTTGATGTGCTATGGTTTTAGGTTGGAAGAACTGCTTTAGTTACAGAATTTGTAGTACTGCATGCTTTAGATTTGCATTGCTTGGTCTGTTTCATTTCTATGGGCTAATTGATATTTTTGTAAAAGAAAACTAAAATTATTCATTTGCCACAGTTCATTTCAAAATGATAACAATGCCATCTGTAATGGTACATTAGGTCATATTGAGTTTGTACTGTGCATTTGTTAGATCATATTCATCATTTGCAGTCTAAAGTAATATTGGCATCCATCCCTTATAGTGACATCAGAGCTGAAATAGAAGCATATTAAGATCATAAGAACAGTTAACTCTTGCAAAGGAAAGCACAATTGAATGACTTACTGTCACCAGTGATGTCATCTATTGGGAAGAGAAGTTTTGGTTTTGATAGGTTACCTCATTTATTCTTTGAATTATTCAGGTGCAGGTGTATTTCCTAATATGGCATCATTACAGTGGAAGGAGTTTTTTTTTTTCTGTCCTAATATGCTTTTAAAAGATCCAAACAATTCATTATATAATGTCAGATGTCTACTTCTGTGAAGCTTACGTGAATACTCTGACCTATGTCCTGCTTTAAGTCCCTGATCTCCTACTCTTGTGTGTGTCAACTAAATTTTATAAATGATGTATAAATATTTAATGCATAAAGTAGTTTATAGCAGATACTAAAGAACAGTTTTTTGAACTTAATATCAATAGTAGCATATTCCATATCTGAAGAGCCTTAACACTGATGACATGCTAGAGTAAAGCCTGATTTTTAATTTTATTTCCTCTTAAATTTTCTGCCCTTTCTTGTCTCTTTTCAGGTAAGCATTATTTCTGACATGTGCTACTTTAACAGCATTGCTCTCATTGTGAGATATTTTTATGATTCACCTATAATTTGCCAGCAAACTATACTCAGCTTTAAATAATTGTCTAAATATACTTGGAGAAATATACTTTTGAATTGACTGTTGTCCTTAGTGAACAAGTTGACATCCTGGGATATTTTAAACATTTTTTATTTGAACTGTATGGAAGTATCCAAAAGTATTTTTTTATTGATAATTAATCTTTGTGACTTTTTCTCTATTTTTGTTTGTTTGTATTTCTTTTAGATGCTCGTGACCACACCGGAAAAATGGGATGTAGTAACAAGAAAGAGTGTTGGGGATGTTGCTCTTTCTCAAATTGTAAAACTCCTGATTCTTGATGAAGTTCACTTGCTTCATGAAGACCGGGGTCCAGTTCTGGAAAGCATAGTTGCAAGGACCTTACGACAGGTAAGAGGCAGTTGTCAACTTAGAAGCTTCACTGGCCTCTGTCTCACTTTTGTCCACTCCAGCTTCCTCCTACTTACACCCCAGTTCTTTTCGCTGAAGTTTGAACTTTTTTTCCTTTCCCTAAGAGACACCCAGCCTCTTCTGCCACCATCAGTATCATAGCTGTCATTACACCCTTTTCCTCTCAAGTCCCTTGCCCTTCCTTTGGACACCAGTCTTTTCACTCTATAAATTGCTCCTTTTTTGTTTTCTATCTTAACTTTTTCTGTTCAGGGGCACTTTCTCTTCAGCTTAAAAGTTGCATTTAACTTCACTAAAAAAATTTCCTTCAAATGCTTCACCAAGTTTTATTTTTCTACTTAACTTCTGGAAATACTGATCTGTATTGGCCCCATCACTTTTGTTTTCCCTCTATGATGGGATGGTGATTGCTTGAACATAAGCATAAATAAAATGTTTTTACAGGCTCACCAGTTACTAAAAGGTTATTCTTGAGCCTTTATTTTAAACTTCTGATATTACTAAATATTGATATTTGATGCTGCTTATCAAACCATCTTTTAGATTTGAGCTCCTTACCTGTGGCTCCATGATACACCCTCTCTTGACTCTCCACTTGAACTTGTTTTATTAGTGTGTACTAGTTGTATCAAGTAATGGATTTTATTATGGTGTCTTATATGTATACATAAAGTTCTTTGAACATAATTATGGTTGCATTGCTCACAATTATCACCTCCTTCCCCATTGCCACTGGTTCCCTTCCTGTGTTCTAATTCTACTTCATTTTCTTCTTTATATCTGCTTATTTGCTTTTTTTTTTCTTCAGGATTTCTTGATGATTTCTTGATGTTCTCTTACTTTCATCCTTGAAATGTCTACATTCTCTAAGACTCACATTTGCCTTAGTATTTTTATATCCTAAATATTTACCCTTGGAAAGCAACACTTATGGGAAGAAAAAGTGTGCAATATATATTTACATTCATTCATTGTGTCATTTAATGAACTTTATTAAACTCAGACCATGTACTGGCTAAACACTTCCAAGTACTATGAATTTAGTAGTCAGTAAAATAAAGTTCTTGGCATAGAGTGAGGTGCATGTCTGTGAGAGCAGTTGCAGGAAGCTCCAATGTGGTTTTCACAGTGAAGATGGGCTTGGAGGAGTATTTATGACTGTCACATTTTAACATGTCAGTATATAAATTATAAATGTACACACATGAATACACCTACATAAAGTAAAAAGACTTCAAATTTTCAGTGTGATTTATCAAATCAGATAATATCTAATGCATAACTTCAACGACACGTGTAGTTACGACAGAGAAGACCCATGAAAGGTCTGTAACTGCTGCTCTCTGCACAACCTCTCCTCCTCCAACCCCTGTTTTCTGCTCCAGATTTTAATCCAAGGTCTTTTACATCAAAGAGAATGATTTTTATTCTGATTTTTTTTTTTTTTTTTACTTTATGCCATGACGCATGAATCCATACAGTCCACATTTATTTTCATCTAGTCACCTTGAGAGTCCATCAACGTAAACCGTTCCACAGATAAGGGCTTTCTTACAATTGTAGAGGTGTAGAGACCAAGTAAATATTTATACATTTGTTAGAGGAGTGTGGTTATGTGTTGGCACGGGATTTAACTAGCCTGACTCTAGCTTCTTACAGCAGCAGGAAATGGAAAGTGGCATTGCTATCAGTCCTTCCTATGTCTGTATATGCTGCATCATGTGGACTGTTTTACTACATGTGGTTTGTTTCAGAGAACATATAACATATTCCACACTCCCCTTGTCATCCTCATAATGTTACCATTTTTCAGTTGTTTCTCATACTTTTCTCATTTATAGTCCTAAGAAAGACTTCCAGATATTAAAAATTATTAAAGTCTGGTCATCTCACTTTAACTTATACAAAATCTGTCAGCTACTGTGGGTTCTAGCCATTTGAAACTATTTTATTTTTCCTTATTTCTTTATAGCACATTATTAACCCAAACTTACTTGAGGTGAAGTGTGGGTTTTTCCTGTGTGCAATTAATTAAGGCTTCTAAATGCCAGTTATGCAACTACTTCATTCTTGGTCATTGTGTGCAAATATTTATTAAAAACACACTGTTCGTTTGAACATGTCACATACTTCTTGTATATTTAAAATCATCATTCTGTTTCCTACATGCTAAAAGGCAATGTCTGAAATAAAGGAGTAAGTTTTACATACTGCTGTATGAAGAGTTTCTTATAGTAAAGTATACACATGTCTGTTTCCTCTGCTTGCACTTTGCACGTTTTTAGCATTTATCAATGTTTATCATATAGCTAGGTACAACTCATTTTTAGTTTCTGTATTTCTCACTAGATTTTAATGTCCTTGATATAAATGTATCTTTGAATCACATGTCTTACCAAAGTGCTAATGTAGTGCTCATTACTATTTGTATTAAAAAGCACATTTCTGTTTTTTCTTTGTGATTACCAGAGGTTCCCAGTAGATGGTAGTGTTTCACATCATATGCAACCATGATTCCTGGTAATGTGAATGATGCAGGGAGCTGTGTCAGCTCGGTGTAGCTTCTGTTTATGGTCAGAAATTACATTGTAGATTAGGAATTGCATTCACAGCACACTTGACATCATGGGAAGATATACGATAGATATGTAAGTAATTATAAATTGTTGTACTTAACAATATTAAACTAATATTGCTTCTTAACTTTGTTCCACAAGGAGATGACTGTACAAGCTTAGACTTTATGAGATAGTATTCAGAAAAGTTTACTCTGGAAAGTCTTGAGTTCTATTATCAGCATGTCTCCCGCCCACCCAAAAACGTTAATTCTCTAGTTTCTGGGCTAAAGATAAAGAAGAATCTGCAAAACAGGTTTTTGTAGTACTCAGCAATACATGTTTCATTACTCTGTGTGATGTTTGGAATTCTTTAATTTGGGTCAAATTTAATTTGTTTTTACTGTTTTATATAAGATTACTTTAGTGAAACCAAATTCATATATATCTCTTTCTCTGTATGTGTGTGCAACAATTTCCACCCAGCTCCATCTAGATTTGATTCTCCCATTTATGCTTCAAGTAGTCTCTACAGGTGTGAGCCTGTGCCAAACTAAGTACTGCATCACCTAATTATGATGGGTCATGCAGTCACCCAGTGTAGGTGTCTGGATGGTTCTGGAACCATGAAGTTATCCACAATATCTTGTTTGCTTATTTCACTGAATCTCCAAGACTGAACAAATTTATCAATGTTTACTTTGATAACAACATCATAGCCTTATAGTGATGTGTCTTAATTATCAAGTATATGGACGTCTTTGGCCATCCTTTGGTTTTAGTGTTTTATGTATATTATAATATTAGAATACAATCAGAATTTGACCTTTTTAAAATTTTTGATTCATGGAATTTTATTTATTTATTTTGGTAATACCAATGACCAAACCCAAGGCCTGATGCATACCAGGTCAGGCCTCCACCAAGGAACTAAGTTTCTAGCCCCAGTTTTTGAAATTTATTGTATTTTCTCATTGTTACAAAGCTTTTGTAGCTATTTAGTGTCAATTCAATGAGTTTTAATGATAGTAGGTAAAGAATATGATGTGTGCATGCATACGTGTGTGTGTGTGTGTGTGTGTGTGTGTGTGTGTGTGTGTGTGTGAGTGTGTATGTGTGTGTAGGGGATTAAATACATGTCTTATACTTGTTAGGCAAGTGTTCTACCACTGAGTCATATATCCAAGGCCTACATCTATTATGTGTAGAGATTTATATGAAAAGACCTTCTGTTGACTCTCTGACCTCACATCCATTTTCTGTAATGTAGTTTTTAGCAGCTCATATGGATAGGATACATGATGGTCCTTTTGGTTAATTTACATAAATCTTATTTAATTAAATAACTGTCGATTGAAATTACCCATACAGGTTGAATCCACACAGAGTATGATAAGAATTCTCGGGCTGTCTGCAACCTTACCCAACTACCTCGATGTTGCTACATTTCTGCATGTTAACCCTTACATTGGACTTTTTTATTTTGATGGCCGTTTTCGACCTGTACCTCTTGGACAGACATTTTTAGGTATTAAAAGTGCAAATAAGGTAAGAGCTTGTTTTAATAGACTGTTAAAAGAAATATTTTTGTTGGCTTGCTTTTGAATACTTAATCGAGATTAGATACTACCAAGTGCTACTTTCGTAGCATACACGTATGGCTTCAAACAATCAGGCACACTTCTCAGTTTAGGTAGTAGAACTCTTCCTGCAGAAGGGTTCTTATGGGAGCTTACCGTATTATATATATATATTATATATATATTATTAAAATACCGTGTTTTGTATTTTCAGCTGTTAAAAGTTTCACAGAGTTATTTTTATTTAATTGAAGGACATTGTAAAATAAAAGCTAATTAAATCAGTAATATATATTTTGATATAATGTTCATTTAAAATAAGGAATAAGGCTTTCAGATTGAAAAGTGATTTCATGGTAGTAACCAATGGGGGAGAGTTGTGCTTAAGAAACTATGTTTTCGGCCGGGCGGTGGTGGCGCACGCCTTTAATCCCAGCACTCGGGAGGCAGAGCCAGGCGGATCTCTGTGAGTTCGAGGCCAGCCTGGGCTACCAAGTGAGTTCCAGGAAAGGCGCAAAGCTACACAGAGAAACCCTGTCTCGAAAAACCAAAAAAAAAAAAAAAAAAAAAAAAGAAACTATGTTTTAATTATCACATTAACTATGTATATAAAGAATATTTCTAGCATTCTCTATAGTGATTTAAAAACAGTCATTCCTTTAATGGTACCACCATATGCCATTTGTACTATAAGTATTTTTTATTACAGTTTTATAACAATGTAGTAAAACTTTACTTAAAAATTATTCTGTTCAATTCTTATTCCTCCTTAGAAGAAATAGCTTTAGGATAATCACAGTCCTTTTGACCTCTTTTATAAAAGAGAACAGATTGGAATTGTATAATGTTTGGTCAAACTTGGCCCTTCATTACATTGTTTTCTAAAAATAAGTTTTTTCTTAAAACAGCCATTTTTGCCTCATACTGTTGGAATGTTGGAAGAATACTCAGTAAATGTTTTTTATAATACTTAATTACGTGCCGCCGAGTGCCCGAGCCTGAGGAGGCCAGGGTTGTTGATCATCCCAGATCTGGAGTCACAGTGGTGCTGAGAATTAAACTTGTGTCCTCAACAAGAACAGTGAACCACTAAGAACCTTAACCACTAAGTAATCTTTCTGGTTCCAGTATTCAGTTATTGTTATTAGGACAAATAATGTGCAGCAGTAACATGGTGGAAAGGTCAGGTATTAGGGCTGGACACGTGGCTCAGTGGGTGAAGGGCTTGCTGCAAGCTGGTGTCCACACCCACGTAAATGCCAGGTGAGCCTGGTATCGTGCCTTTAATCCAGTTACACAGGAGGCAGAGACTGGTGATAGCCCCAAACAAGCTGACTAGCTGGAACAGACACATAGGAGACCCTGCCTCGGTATATACAGTGGAGATACATATAATCAGGAAGATACCTGGTGTCATCCTCAGACTTCTACATGCACATACATAAAAATACACACACGAATGAACATGCTAGCCTGCACTCACACTTCACCTTTATACACTTGCCAAAGAAAATCTCAACAAGCTACCTTTTAATAGTAGGGATCCTTTTTAGATTATTAGAAAAGAAAAAGAATAGTTTGTTATGATAATAACTGTGACATGCATATTTGGCTATCATCAATTACTTCAAGTGATTTGGAGTGCTGTAAATACTTGCTATTTGTTTTCCCATCATTTCGTAAATATATAGTTTATTATTTAGTTCATTTCAAAATTTAGATGAATGGAGACATATTTCAGATTTTTTTCTTGACTTGCAGCTTAACTTAGAGTAAATTGCAGTCACAGGTACTTTTTAAATATTTCAAATGCATTAAAGCCATCTAAAATCTTACTTTCTTTCAATTATATCATTCAGATTGGTAAATCACTTATAGTTAATTAAATTCAAAGTGGCTTTCATAGCATTGTGCCAGCAGTATACTCACAAAACACATTTTGGATGAAGAACTGATATGATTTTTTGAATATTTAGAAGTTTGGCAATTAGAGGAATTTACATATCATAATGTGAATAGTTCGTTAGTTATAGTTACAGATTTTTGTATTATTAGAACTTATTAGTTTAATGTTAATTTGAAATACATAGTTGGTTAGTGTGAAGATTTCACCAGGGTATTGTTAAGTTGTTTTATAACCAGCTACTGAGAATTTCATTCAGAAACTCAAGATATGATCCAGTTGTTACTCTGGAATATCAGAATGGTAAGATGGTATTTCCAATTTGAAATGAACCCAATCCAAAGTACACTGAAAATGTTGGGATTTAACTTGGGGATAGAAGAGGTTAGATTTGTTTTCCAAGTCACTGATGGGACTGTTTACCCTGTGATAATTATATCCTACTTAGCCACAGATTATTAGTCATAAGTTTTCCAGTTTTTAATGTTTTACACCATTGAAGCAGTGAATTAATTTCTTTACTTAGGATTTTGTCATACAACCTGTATTCTTTCAATTTTCAGACATATATGAAAGCTATATGGTTCATGGAATGAGACAGGAAAAAAATAGCCTGAAGAATGAAGTTTTTTAGGGGAAGTCGAGAACTTTAAAATCTGTTCTAACATATCTGTAGCTAGCTGGTATCACCCACAAAGATACTAACTTTTCAAACCTCAGCATTCTTTATACTCTGAAACTATGGTTGAAGTACTTTATTTGTGTTTTAATTTTCCTTGGTTTGTTCTGTGTTAGATACATCTCATTTGTTGCTTCTGTGCTGTAATTAGTCTGAAAGGTTTTTGTAATATAATTGGCAAAGTTTCATTTGTAGTTTGAAAGTGTTTCATTGTCTCATTTAATAATTTTATGTTTTAAAATCTTTAAGATGCAGCAGTTGAATAACATGGATGAAGTGTGCTATGAAAGCGTTTGGAAACAAGTAAAGGCTGGACACCAGGTACACTGGAAAATGCTTCATGAACAAACTGTAGATTTTTCGATCTTCACTTGAAAGTTTTCCTGAATTCCGAGATTAAGATTTATTTCATAATTGTTTTAGTCTAATGGGTAACTGTATGAGTCATATAAATACTCTTAAGTGATATTGTTATACTACTATTGATAAGTCATGATATTTTGTTTGCTATTTTATTAAGTATTTAAGAAAAAGTTTGGCCTTTACATTTCTGTTTTTTTAATTGTTTTAAAAAGCACAAACTTCTCAAAACTCAATTCGAATTCATATTTTTATATATTAAGGTTTTTCATGATGTCATTCTCACTGTTTTCATGAAGTATATTTGAAATATATTTAGTAGATTTTTGTATTACTTAATTTTGTTTGGAAGTTGAGCATTTGAGTCTGGGGTATGGCTCAATGGTAGACCACATGACTATTGTGTTTGAGGTATTGAGATCCGTGGGGAGTCAGGCATGGAAAGAGAAAGAGTTAATCAGTTTTGTTTTTATTAACATCTCAATTGTCCCAAAATTCCTTAAAGAAAACATGGAATGATATATAAAAATTAACTGTTATCTATTTTTTGTTCTTGTTATTTGGTAAGCTTTTACAGTTTTCCTGCCCCCTCTTCTGTCATATTCCCTGAGCTTAGGTGCTGGAGTGTTTTGTAAATTTGTCCATTGGGACTGGGCTCCACAACTCAGCGTTTTGATTGATTGTGATTTTTCTCCAGTAGTCTTGGTCTATTGCAAAAAGAAAACATACTTTTGTGTACAAAAGAATCCTTTAACCCCCAAGGCTGAATCGTATTGCAGCTTCTGTATATGAGAAAAGTTAAACTAACCTGGGCCTGAGAACAGGGATAGATGCCACCCAGTGAACACCCTTGAAATATATTATCTTTTTCAAAGAAGAGCTTTCAAAATTTGTTTTTCTGCTAATCTTAATAGAATGTTATTGGTCTTAAGAATGCTTGCTTGATTGTTTGTTTATCTTAGTCTGTTTTATGGTCCTCATTCCTTGTTTATTTTTATTTATTGTCCTATTTTGCGTTTTATTGTTTTGAGACAAGGTCTCATGTAGCCAACGATACCCTTTCATTTCTGATCCTCCTTGCGTATATCTCACAAGTGCTGAATCACAGGCATGGTGTCACCATTCCTGGGGATCTAACCCAGGATCAAATGAGTGTTAGACAAATCACTCCACCAACTGAACTGCATTGCATCCTCAGTTCTGTTTTTAACTATAAAGTTTTAATTTTATCAGAACTGCTTTTAATTAAAAAAATCAAGAATCCCTGATTATTTTAAAGTAATACTTTTTCTAGCTCTTAATTAATACCTGAAAATGATAATATTGTCTTACATTTACTAAATTCTCTCAGCATCTTCTGAGGTATGTACTGTTATGCATAGTTGACAGAGATAAATGAAGTTCTGTTCAAAAAAAGTAATATATTGGTTGTGTTCTTGTCATTTAATATATTAGTTATTTTGTGTCTGCATCTATTTAGAGCTGTGCATTAATAAAATTTTACAGTTGGGTTTTTAATTGTGTTTGACTGTTCATCCAACATAAAAAAACCTTCATCAATAGTCGGTAGATTCTGTGTTAAATAAAAAGGCTTAAAGATTTTTTTAAATAATAGAAGTAAAATGTAAACATATTAGTGTGAAATATACAATAAACATGAGCTAATGAGCAAGCCAGAGAGTGAGCAGTCTTCCAGTATGGTTTCTGCCTTAATTCCTCAGTGATGGATTGTCACCTGGAAGCCGACGCCTTCCAGATAAACCATTCCCTCCCCAAATTGCTTTTGTTTAGTCTTTTATTAGAGCAACAGAGATAAAACTAGAACATGCTGTTACCCTAGAATTAAAGAAATTCAAGTAATATTTCCTTTTCTACCACTGGTAACACTTACTGGCTAGATAATGGATACAGTCACTCCTTGACATCTTTACAGGCCTGGTTCTAGACACCCACCATAAAAAATACCAGAATCAAGAGGTTTTCAAGACTTTCATTTAAAATAGCATGGTTATTTGCATATAATTTATGGACACCTCACACATTTAAATTTTCTCTAGATTTGTTACAGTATCTATTACATGATAAACTGTAAATAATTGTTCTACTATTTTTTTTAAAGAGTAAGGCTGAGGTGGAAAGGCTTTTGAATTCACTGTAGATGGAAGGGTTTTTTTTTTTCAGGTGGGGTGACATTTGTTACAAATATCTCTTATAAGCAATGTGTTAAATCTATGATAGAATTTACCGATCATTATGCAGTGGGGCTGATTGTATTTGCTACATTATTATGCGTTGCAGGAGTGGTTCTCATTGGAACAGATCATTTTATAGGGTTCAAAGAGTACAATGTTTGCACATTATTTTTTAGTGAGATGGATAAATACATATGCCCATATATATATAAATATGCACATAAAACATATGCAGTTGTAAGTTCTAAGTGTTCTAAGGAATACTTCTGTTGCTAGTACTACAGCCATTTTAAGGCCATTGGCTATAAGCCATTCATTTTTCCAAGATTATGGCCATCATCATGCTATTTATGATTCTTCAGATATATTTATTAATGCTAATTTATAATATGATCATATTCAATATTCAAAATATTTCTTTGAAAAATAGAATATAATCTCATGCTAGGAAAAGTAACCTTTGTCTCTTATATTGTTGGATAAAATTTCAAATAAATGTTGTACTTTGGAGGATTTTAGGGAATTTTTTTTGCATGGTTCTCACATATTACTAGAGGCCAATATGTCTCCTTAAAAATCATGTTTTATAAAGTATAGATATGGGTTGGAGATCTGTAGTCAATACAGATGAGATCTTACTACCAACTCTTTTCAGTATAAATTCACTCACTGCTTTACTTCTCAAAGCAAAAGTTCCTGAGGGCAGGCTCATATTCTAGTAAATTCACATGAACTATAATAATTATGGTGCCTAATTGGAAGTTAAAAACTTGGCTGGAATACCCAGGGAAGCCATCAGGTGACAGGCGCTGGTGATTCTAAGACACAGGAACCTAGGAATTGAGGCTCACACTATGAAGGGAGAAGCTGGAGACAAGAATTACTCAGATACCTTTGGTGTGCATGTCCTGACAAGCATGACTGCCAGTTCTTCATGATTGTGTAAAATCAAAATTGACTTTCTGTACTTGTGTCTAGCTGAAAATGCTCTGTGATGATTGCGTAAGTGAAGTTGCTGTTCGAGAGCCAACAGACAAACTTTCAAATCGGAAATTGCAGCCAGATCTGTGCTGCTTCAGATAAGTAGAGTGTAACAGCTCTGCCCTGTCAGCAGTGGCCTCCAGAAGCAGGTTTAGGTTGTATGCTCACAATTCCTGTTTTTGCATGATTCGCATTAACACTTTTATTATGAGTTTCTTGAATTTTATTTTTAAAATGTACATAGTTTGTGTATTTCTTCATTATAAAAGTGAAGTGATGTTGATTTCATAGTTTCTTTTCATAATTTTTAGTTTTTTACCATTTTACCTTTTTAATACAGTGATAATTTGTATATATTTCCAACAGTATTTTTTCTTTTCATATGTATGTGAATACATGTGTTAATGTGTGTCCACATGTTTATATTTCCCACTAATATTTTTTTCTTATATGTGTGTGTGACAGAGTATATATATACATATGTGTATATGTGTATGGGCAGGAACATAGTCATGAGTGTGCACGTATGTGAAGTATTTCAAGGTTGATGTTGAAAATTTTCATCCATCTCTCCTTAGTCTTTGAGGCAGGGTCTCTTAATCGCCCAGAGCTCACAGATGCGGCTGTTCTCGCTAGCCAGCTTGCTAAGTGGGTCCTGTTTCGCCCTTCTGAGACTAGAATTACAGGAGGGCCACCACACTTAATTCAGTTCTTATGGGTTCTAGGGATCTGAGCTCTGATCCTCTTGCTTATCAAACAAGCACTTTAATCATAAGCCATCTCCCCAGCTTCTACTAGTCTTTTATCTCTTCACACTTGCAGTTTTAATTTTGATTATTAGCTATAATCAATTATTAAATTATAATTATAATGCTTGTGTGGTTTTATATTCACTCTTTTACTTAATGAATAATAAGGATTTTAAATGTATCTACATGGTTTTCACAACTTCATTGTCTGCAAGAGAGAAAAAAAAGAGTGTTTCGGTTCTAATTTTCAGATGCCATATGAATCTATTTAGACTTTTAATCTGACATGTGCCTAGATACTTGCTTTGGATATAGGGAAAAATGAGCCTCAGACATGTTAAGCAGCTTCCCAAGGTCATATGGCTAGTTAAGGATACCACTATGACAGAAACACAGGAGGTACTGTTGATAACATTCTACATTGTTATTCTGTCAGTTACCTGTCTCATAGCTGCATGAGAACGAAATTCAACTTCAGGATAAAAGAATTTATTGTGGCTCAAAGGAATTCAGTTGATAATGTCATCAAAGGTATGGCTGTGGTATTGATTTGGTTCATTCATGTTATTAACCAGGAAACAGAGAAAGGGGACTTTCTGACTCTCTCCTTTCTCCCCTTTTATTCGGAGAACCTTAGCTCACTGGAGTGGATCCTCCTACATTTGGGATGGATCGTCCCATCCCAGTGTAAACATCTCTGCAGTCACACTCATAAATATTCCCAGATGTGTGCATCCAGGTGATTCTAAATCCAGTCAATTTGACTGTGAAGATTAGTTTTCATAGCTATTAATTATAATTATAATAGAATTAATTCCTCCATTGCTAAGTGTTGTAAAAGTTTCAGCTTTCTATTACTAAAAATGATGCTTACTTTTTTTTATTAAATTTCTGTTTATTTAGTTGCTGCTTTTCTGCTTAAATTTTTACTTAGTTCATTCCTTAAAATGGAATCAGAACAAATGCCATATTTTGTCTTCTTGCTATACAGGAAGGACTCTGTGTTCTCCAAGTAAATAGAAGCATTTTGTGGTCACAA